TGAATAAGTGTATATTGAGCTCTTTTGTAACCAAGGTCCAACATTCTGGTGAGTCAGTTTTAGGTGAAGGTTATATGTTACTTCTACCCACACTGCAGTGAAAACTCTTAATTTAAAGTGCTGCATCCTCTTGAAATCTGAGTTACATGGACTATATGTGATCTTCTTGCCGTGCTGCTGAATTTATATCTGGGGTTTTATACTAGCATAGCCCTTTTGAACACGTCATTCAAAGGGTGCATACCTTAACCCATCGAGGCACATTGCACAATGTTGTCCATCTAAGATATTTTGAGCTGGAAAGTGAGAGTTTTAGATAGTTCACAGGAGGAGGGGAGGATAGGCAGGACCCCAGCAGTATAATGATTTTTGTTCATAGTCAGTGGCCATACAGGTTACACAAGAAGCACCAATAGGAAAAGCAACATTGCCCTGGCTGCAAGGTTATGCAAAAAAGAGTGGCTGAGCAGAATTACTAACATTTTATCATATATTGCATAAGCACATTTTTATTTTAACTTTGTTTTTCTTCTGTTCTGCTTTAAAAAAAAAAAAAAGTTGGCGCAATCATATGGCAACAGATGAGTGCAAAGGGCTGTAACCCAAACTAACCAGATTTGATGTAACAGATTTCAGATTACTAAGAGGGGCGTGCGACTGCTGTTTACACTATATAATACATAACCCTGAAATAACAGAAATATCTATAAATTTCCGCTAGAACAAGGTGCAATCAGATCACCTCTTAGAGCCTGAGGGTATTCTTGCCCAGATATCACAGGGTTATCTTGCGTGCACTACATAAAGTGTCTTAAAAATGTGCTTCTTGGTTATTAGATTTGCCATTTGAACGTATTGTTTTAATATCTTACTTGCCTCAGGTTCTACAATGGGCAAGTGGATATTGCTCATTTCTGTGATGGTTCCAGAAAGACTTATGTTTTCATCTATACTGAATTATCATAAGCGTTCTCAGTTGCCGTAGAAGGAATAGTTTTCATTTGTCTTTGAGTTTACATTCATACACGCTTTTTCTCAGTACAAGTTTTCTATTGATTAATGACTTTTAGTATACCATGCACATGTACAATGTTTACACTATTTGGCTATGATTTATTATTTAGTATAGGCATAGTTTAATATGATATAATCATGTATGGGTCATTTGTTACAATCCGCTTATTTGTTTACCTAGTGACAACTGCCACTTGGTACATTCATCGAAACATAGAAGAGTGACAGTAGGAAAAGAACAATCGTTCCATAAAGTCTGCCCTCTTTGTTTTTCATTTGTTTTGTTTTGTTTTTTTTTGTCTGATTACAGGTCTGTTTGTTCCAAGCATCTTTAAATTCACTAAGAATGTGATTTAAAAATCGTACACATAGCGAACAGCTACGCAAACAAGTTTGCACCACATTATGGCAACTAGGTAGAACTGAAGAGCATAGACATTGTATGTGCCCCTCAGCTTCTTCTAGTGGCCATAATGTCCTGTGAAAAACACCAAGGCTTATAAACCAGAGTGAACAGCTATTCCAATGGTGTATAAACCACACCCTAACGGTTGTTTGACCCACTACCTCTACTAAAAGTCTTTCCCAAACATCAACTACTATTTCTGTAAAATGTAATACTTAGGTTTGTTTTGAACTTTCCTCCTGCAAGTTTCAGGTATATTGCTGGATCTAATGCAACTAGCACTATGAGATCTGCTGTTGCATGTGGGGGGGAGGGGTCTAGATCAGGTCTCGACTGACCAGATACAAAAGAGGCCAACAGAAAATAATATTTAAAATATAAATTGTATATAAATATTTTGCATCAAAAAAACCTCCACAGATTTTTTTTTCTGACGTCAGAACAATGAATGACATTTGCGTTTTCGGTGTGAGCGTCATTTACACATGTAAACAAACACAATGCCATTGTTGGAATTTTAGCAATTTTAAACCTGTCAGTTTGTATTTTCGCCAACCCAACTTAATCTTATGTAAATATTACCCCAACCAAATGTGTAAACCAAATGTTTCTTTTATTATTTATTGTGGGACACAGGTGTTCTTATAATTCTAAACTGTTATACTGCCACCTACAGGAGAAATTGATACTGGCCACAAAAAGCCATTGCCCAGCAGAAGATAACCCTGCCCACAACCATCATGCCTCAGTTTTTGTTTGTGTTCACAGGGGAATGGATGTGTTTTCTTCGGTTCACCAAAAGGAAATATCCCTCCATTGTCTGGATGTGATTCAGGCTGGGAGAGTCTGTCTCTCAGGCACTGCTTCTTGAGGAGGACTGATACCTTTTTTTTAAATACTTGATGGACCCTGTAAGGGTGCACTGGCTTCTCCGTTAACTATCTCTAGGTGACCCAGACAGACCATCATCCAAACTTATGGTCTTAAGAATCAGGTTTCACCCGGTCCAATCAAGGTGCACTCTACTAGATCTGTAAGTGCTTCTTGCGCTTTTTGGCATCGCGCAATATTTTTTGCAACACTACCACCCGGTCTTCTATTTTTATTGCTTAGGTATTACCAGGTGGATATTCAGGCCTCATCTGATGCTATGTTGCCCACCCCTTTGGTGGACTGCTTTTGGACATCCCGACAGTCGAAGAATTCTAAGAATTCCTGTGTTGATAAAATTAATGGACGATAAAGAAAATCAGACTTTTGTGACTCCCCGTAAAATCCTCTCCTCAGTATTTATTTCATGCTCTCTGTTTTATTTTGACAAAAAACTGAGGCATGATGGTTGTGGCTGGGTTATCCTGTGTTGGCCAACAGCTTTTTTGTTGCCAGTTTCCATTTCTCCTGTAGGCAGCAGTATAACCTGACAGTCTAAGAATTCCTGTGCTCCACGATTTTATGGTAAGTACAAATATCCTATTTTATTTCCTGTGTGCACCACAATATAGCTTTGAGAGGGAATATGAAATAAAGTGCAAACCTACACTAGCTTTACCATTTTGTTATGTTACATAAAAATCCCACTTATAGGATATCCTTTTAATCAGCAGACTTTGACGATTATATTTCGGGCTACATATCTGGGGTTGAGCTAATTATGCAAATGTTGCATTGGAAAGAATTATAGGACAATGCATTTTTAAAAATGTATTTTCAATGTTTCTAATGAAAATATCAATGTGTGTTCAAATCTATTATCAAATGAAAGCCCCATATATCCCAAGAAAAATGATGCATGATATGTTAAAGTAGATTACAAAACCTATAAGATATCAAGTGTGGAACAGAGATATCACCAAAACACAAAAAACATCCTGGAACTCAAGGAAGTTCTAAAGAGAAAAGGTCCAGGAACTCAAGTGGTTAACAGAATAAGCCATTTCCTCCTCGTTCTGTGCTGTAGCAGCACCGAAAATGTTTGGCCTCCTTTTTGTCTGCTTTTATACACTTCTGTATTAACTTTCCATTTTCTTGTATCTCCTATATACTGTTTTGTTTTTTCTCTTTTACTATCTTACTCACTCACCTTTTGTAATGAACCATTTTTTGTATTCTTCTGTTTACTAAATTGAATGGAAATATAATTTGACTACAAGATGGTAGACTTTAGTAGTGCCCACTGATTACAAATTAATTTTGCTTTACTCCAACCTCTTCATTAATTTTTTAGAAATGTCAGCAAACTATGATCTTTTGAGAACCTAAAATGTTTGTTTTTTGTATATAATTTTTCAGTTGTTCTAATAATAAACCAAAACGTTTGGTGGTCACTAGAACACAAATGTTCTTCCACATTGACATCGGAGAATTGATCCCCATTTGTCAGTACAGGTCTAGAATATGGTCTCCTGCTTGTAAGCCCAATTTAAAAACTTAATTTAATGTCCGGCACACTTTTGTGACTCACCGTAAAATCCTCTCCTCACTATTTAAAGTCACCCTTAATAAAACTTCTCCCTTCATTGTCATTTGATTTCTCTCATCAATCAATCAATAGGTTATCGTAATCCTTAGACTCTCTGGTGGTGTGGGAGGGGGGCTTTATTCTTCTACATATTCTATGGGAAGATCCCTCTCTGGTTTGTAGACAGACCCAGAGGCTTTCAAGTAGTCTATTTGCCTTTGATTAATGTTTTATGCCATTCTTGACATGAATGGCCCTTTGCTAATATGTCTTTCCTATATAGTGTGTACCCTGGTATAGTCATTTCACAGTCACACATGGTAAACATTGATGCATTGTTATATCTGTGCTTGTACTGTGGAAATGTATCAAAACTTAAAAGCCAAATTAATCAATTTTTAAAATACTTGTTGCATCCTGATATCATCTTGTTGGTAGTGCAGACAGTGTTTAGTGGTACACTGACCCTGAAATTCCTCATACTGATCCTTCCCTTTACCTGTTGAGGTTTTTTGATAGAGATTTTGCAAATTCAACTCTAAACTGAGAGTTTATAGAGTTTAGAGTTTCTATTTGGAACCCAGTCCAATGATCTCTGGATAACCTATGTTATTATAAGGGGCTTTCTTCCACAAGAGTGATCGTACTGTAGCTAGAAAACATATTTCTTTCTATTTTCTCGATCTGTCAGAGTAGTCATAAACATGGCTTTTAAAGTGTCCTAAACTGACATAACAAAACAGATCTTTTAGCCGTGAGGAAACATAATAGACACGCAAGTTATTCATAAAATTCCTGAGTAGACCACAAACTCATAAGATTGTGCTATGTATTTACGACAAACCACTTTTTAACTACAAAGTGTCAAACTAAATGTCAGGAAATGACACTAATAAGGACAAAACCCGAGATGAAACAAACGGCATGCTTAATGAAAAAACTGACTTACCAGCCAGCAAGTGTCTTCCATGGATGAGTCTGAGGTTAAATGTAGAATTCTTGAAGGGGGCAGCTGATGGAATTCTGTAGGTGTTGGATACCGGCACTGCCTACACTTGGGTGGACAGTTGTATAGCAGACATCTATGGATCAGTAATCATTTGACATGCAGCATCCTGTTGTATCCAGCGTTTGCTAGAGGCATACAAGTGTCTAAGCCCTAGAGACTGAGACTCAAACTATTCCATCTGCCAGTTCATTTTTTATTGCTGGTCATCGTCTTCTCAATTTCCTCTCCGCTGTATTTTCAGGAGCAATGTGTAGTGTAGCAACACAACCTGTGACTCTAATTTCACATGATGTTTTATTACACTGATTATATTTGATGTCTGTCAATTTAACGGTGGCTCAGTTAATTAGTGGAGATGGCGGTGTGCTATTCCTAAGAGTCGTTTTCATGTCACAAGTGTAACAATTATAAGAGAGATCGTATCGTGAGTGTTGGGGAGCAAAATTTCTAAAACATCTGAATTGTGGTTGCAGCTAAAAGCCTTTGATTGTAAGAGGTTACTTGAAAAGCCGTTGATTGCTATTACGTCTCAGTTTGATTCTCAAGTCTTCATAATTGTTCCTAAAAGTAAACCGTTGCAGTGTCCATTTCTTTAATGAGACACGTTTGTTAAATCTGGCCACTCTCTGTTTCTTCTCCTAAAGAACATTTGAGTTGTAACTAAGGAGCTCATTGCAGTATGTGTACCCAGTGTAATTCTTACGGATGTTCTCCTGGACTGCATACCTATTATTGTCTTTAGTACATTAACCAGTCCTAAGCCTTTAACAATTGTCACTTAAATGTTAACTACAAACTTCTTTTTTTCATTTCAGAATTTACTATATTTTGTTTTATGTTTAATATCACGTTACCACTCACCATGAAAATGTGTACATATGACCCTACATAAGATGTATTCTATGTCAAAGCTAAAAGATTCAATATGGAAAAATCTCTAGTAGTGAAAGTGTTAAGTGTGAGATGGTCACATTGCCAATATAGAGGCACATAATGAAGCTGCTGCTGCAGTGTGTATACACTCAATGTATAATCTTGAAAGCTGTGCCGACAAGTACATACCTTCCTCATTAATTTATTCATGTTGAGGTCCCTGGTGTTATGAAAATGTCAGATGAATCAAAATGTGGCAATTTGACAGATGTTTTAATTAATGTTTTCATCTTGTTTGTTTAGCACAATGCTCCCATTCCACAGGGAGGGCGAGGTGCAATCCAGTTTGTGACACAGTATCAGCACTCAAGTGGACAGCGGCGAATCCGAGTAACCACAGTAGCAAGAAAGTAAGTAGTCTGCTGCCTCAAAGATATATGTGAAACAGCTCATATACTACCTGATTTTCTTATGTGACCTGACCAGTCCTTTCGAAGTATTTCTAGCTTTCATCAAGTGGTATAGTCATTGAAATATCATTTATGGGTATGCAGAAGTGGGCCGATCCACACATTGGCTTCTTTGCCTTCTTTTAGCAGTGGGATCTCCTCACCTTAGTTGTTCTGTTTCTCTAGCTTTTCTCTTTGTTCTGTGTTAGGAAAAGTCTCACTTCACCTCCTGCAGTCTTTGTAAAATAATTTAAAAAACCCAATAGGGATGTGCCAGAATTCCAGGAAGTAAAGGGAGATCTAGTAATTTGCCATTAGTAAAAATGACCACTGCGAGAAGAATGGGGAGGAAAAGTAAAATAAGGTATAGAAAGAATACAAAGCCTGCAATTATTTATAAATATCTCTTTGTAGATTGCAATCACTAAACATTTCTAAAGGTGTCTTTGCGGTTATATTAAAGATATGGGTAGAGTTCCTCTTTAGGTTTGCAGGTTTCCCATGACATCTGGGGTAATCTGGAGAGTTCGTTCTGTGCCATTGGAACAGCTTTTGCAGAGTGTGGTACACTGTGTGTAATTTAAACAATTGCGTTATTCTCTGTGTTGGGGAAAGAGAGACCCTGGGGACAGCTTTAGGTGCCATATTCCAGTTTCCCCCAGTGATAACGTCTAAGTCCTCTCCCCAACCTTTTTTGCAGGGTAAAATTGTTCTAGCTATCAGGCCTCCAGACAGAGTGTAATATAACACAGAGAGAGGAGGCCCTTTCTTGTACTGGCTAACGACCACCATGGGTTTTAAATGAGCTATGATGGGGGTAAATGTTTTAACTTGATTTTGTTGTAGCATTCCATAATTGGAGATATTTATGAAATTATTGTTTGGTGAGTTGGAATTTGTCTTTTATCATTTGACCCAACACTTGTTTAAATATCCCCATAACCAATCACAAACTGCCACATCAATAAATCATGAGCTAATCAAACAGCAAGTAAGAGGACCTGATGAGGAACTTCAACTTTTTTCAGTGAAGAAACACTAATACAGCCTGCATCTAATCAAAAACGTTCAGGAAATTCCAGCCTCCCAAAAGAAAAGGAAGGGCTGGAACTGATGGGGAACCTATTACAAAATGTAAATGTTTCCCAATCCCTTTGAATAACATTATAACCCCACCTACTAAACTCGGCAACCCTGATGATGAACATCATCACTGAGAATCACATGACTCAAAAGCCAAACCGCACAGGGGGCAACCAGATTTAAACCAAGGGCCTCTCTATCTACAGTCCAGTGCTTTAACACTGAGCTGTAGCCCTGGCTCTAAGCAGCGGACCCGAAGGAGAACTATGTTCAAACACATCTGGTACCTCTCACAATGTCCAATATTAAAGCAATACTTAGCCTGCAAATATTACAAATGACAAATATATTTGCTGTGTTGGTTATTTCAAATGAAGTCAATAGTTATTAAACCACTGGTATAAAAATGAATACTTGCTGTATTTTTTGGTTCAGACTTAAATTCAAAAACACCTAAGATCACAATAACATTAAAAATCAGTTGGAGAGATACAACAATACAGAAATATAACACATAAAGCAGTGGTTCTCAACCTGTGTATCCTCAGGACCCACATTTCTCCTCGGTCATTAAGTCGCGACCCAAATCGCACTGCAATGGAACACACGGCATTAAGCTACGGTTTGGGCGTACACCAGAATTCATAGTAGGTGCGATTGCGTGGTACAGTGCGTTCATCGCACGGTACTATGTGATTAACGCACTGTACTAGTGTGAACGGGCCCTCAGAAACACTGACATTTATGTGCATTGCTTGTACAGCTCCCTTGCGCTCCCTGTAGAGGTGCCAGGAGCCAGAATGTGACGTTACTCTTGTCCAGGCACCTCTACAGGGCAGACAAGGGAGCTGTAAGCAATGCACATATGGATAGAGCTCCCTCGCGGCCATAGCCCCATCTCATCTCAAGCTGACACTCCATGCTGGGCAGCATATTTTGAATGGCTGCTTGGCGTGAGAACTGACAGTGCTGCGCTAGGGAGAGGCAGAGGAGCCTCTAACCTAGAAAAGCGGAAGGCATGTGGTGACCCACTGAACCATGGGGTCACGACCCACCAGTTGAGAACCAAGGACGTAAAGCATCACATTCACAAAAGGGACAACAAATCGTATTATTAATTCAAACCTAGCAAGGATGGAGTTTGTAATCTTCTCATTCAAATTGCTTCTTTCTTCAGTAGGATCTTTTCCCTGCCACCCCGACTCGGCTAATTCATCCAAGACCTGATCATTTCAGCTGAGATACAGAATGCCCCTGTTTAATAAAATGGTCAGCAACCGCTTGGTTCTCCAAACTATTCCTTATTTCTGACTGCGTGATAATATTATATTCAATATTATGTTTCAAACATTGTGAAGGGTGTAAAGCAAGCTCTAGGGGCACTTAATGCAATATATTGCAAAACCAGAATTACAAGTATGATGATCATGTACAGGTGAAACTCGAATAATTAGAATATCGTGCAAAGTTCATTTATTTCACTAATGCAACTTAAAAGGTGAAACTAATACATGAGATAGACTCATTACTGGCTTACAAGATAATTCAAGCCGTGATTTGTCATAATTGTGATGATTATGGCTTACAGCTCATGAAAACCCCAAGAACCCCAAATCCACAACCTCAAAAAAGTAAATTATTACATGCAATCAGTAAAACAAGGATTGTACATAGAACAATATCGGACCTCTGAAAAGTACAAGCATGCATATGTACTCAGTACTTGGTTTGGGCCCCTTTTGCAGCACTTACTGCAATTACTTTTGCACGATATTCTAATTATTCGAGTTTCACCTGTATATAAAATGTTCACATTCTATGCTGCTGATTTTTGCTGAGAAAATAACAGCTATTTTTATTCAACGTTCTTTTGAAGTCCATGGTGTGGGACACGTTTTGCTGCAGAAAGTTTATTTCTTCCATCAAGCTTTTCTTTTTCTTGTTGTGGAAAGCTTGATTTGATAGGATGTTGACCTTTGTGTCTTCTCACAATGACCTGGTCTGAGGTGTCTGACCATGTTGTACAGCATGTCACAGCAAGTCCAGACTCAATACATTCCCTGGAGCCATCAACCATTCTTATAACTAGGAAACAAGATGTAAAAACTGGTAATTGAGAACTATATACAGTCATAGGGACAGAGTTATTTTTCAATATAAAGTAACAACATAGCAAGGCCAAACTTTAGCCATACACCCTCCACAATTATCTATTCTAATCACGTAAAGATCATTCACATTTTATGACCAGCTTAACTACTGTCCCCACCTCTTTACTGGTCAGAAGATTCTTTAATGTGTTCACGGTGCCAGCAATGGTGTTGTATTTTTCCACAGCCTGTCCTATTCTCCTACACTCAAGGAATGTGCACAAATGTACTGTATTTGCTGGCGTATAAGACTACTTTTTATACTTAAAAACATCCCCGGTATTCAATGTATACCTTTAGTTCGTTTGGGCCAAGGTGGCCCAAAATGAACATCCCTAATCTGTCAGCCCAATGGATGTGCGGTAATACTGTATGTACGGTAGCTTCGGCTACATAAAGTATACCGAGCTGAGCCAATCACGGTGAGCGATGTACACAACCTCTGCCAATCCAAACAGGCTTTGTAATCATTAATAGAATACATCGCTCGCCGTGATTGGCTCAGCGTTATATACTGTATGTAGCCGAACCTACCGTACATACAGTATTACCGCACATCCATCCATGATGTTTTTAAATGGTGTTGCCTCGGAAGTGGGGTAGTCTTATATGACGAGAATAGCCCAAAACCTATAGCCCAAAACCTATGTTTTAAGTGGAAAATTAGGGGGTCGTCTTATACACCCACTCGTCTTATACGCCTGCAAATACGGTATAATTTTCTTACTTGGTTTATTTACATATTTGTCTGCTTTTTAAATGGAGTTTATCATTTCCTATAACCACTGACCAAAACTGACCATTTATTGATTAAGATCTAGAGAGTAATTTATATTTGACTCCAAATATTCCAATTCAGCTTTGCTCTGCCATTGTCATTGAAATGCATAACTAACATGAACTCACTTCAGGAAGTGGAGATTATCAGTCTGTTAAATATAATACAGGGAGATCTGGGATCTATAGGCCATTGGTGAGGATAACCAAATTGAATTAGTCCAAGAGAGATAACAGGATAAGAAAGGAAATGTTTTTTGTACAAAATTGTTTTTGGAAGGAAAGCATAAGTGGTTGGTGTCATATGCACATAAGCACTCAGCATTGTAACTGAATACCACTGTCAGGCATCTGCACTGTTATTATGGTAACATCACTTTATAGTGCTTTTGAGATCATAGTAGAAAACTAAAATTAAATAACCCAAATTATAATTTTTTTTATTTTATGTTGTTACATGAGTGTCTAGTTGTACTCTTTACAGAAAGAAATGCTCACTGGCCAGTAGCTCTGTTCACCAAACCAAAAAAAAAAAACCTTAGTGAGTCTATACTGTGAGATGTCATCTGTTTTGGCTATGACTAAGGCCCTTTGGATTGGCTGAAACACATCAGCAAGTACCTGTATGCTGTTTTATGCTGTATGAATAAAATCTTAATATGAAGAGGATCCCTGGGAGTGCCAGTTTGTTCGCTTTTTGCATTTGCCTTGGGTCAAGCACAGACCTTACTGAGGATGGCAGTTCCTTAAGAAGATTTGGTAGAGGTGGTTGAGTGACTTGTTCTCCTGCTTGTATCATCTGTTTTGCTGAATTTCTGGAACACTGTAATGACCAGACATCATAGCTGTGGACCAAAAAGGTTCTATGGCTTACTAATGCGGTGTGGATGCAGAGAAGAAAACACAGGGACAGCAGCGATGGCATTTGTTACCTGGCCCATCAAGATAGTGGAAGTTCTTGAGTCATAGATGGTGTCTGACTATCATTGCATTCTCACTGTATCTCTGTAATGGATGACACTGCAGCACACCAATGCACAAACTGTGCCTTGCTACACGCTGTGGTAATGCAACTCTGTAAACTTGGCCTACAATCTGGCACATATGTCCATTCCTACCTTGGTGGCGTGTATGGCCATGGAGCATGGCCATTGTTTTCCATGAAGAGAAATGTAGTGCCAACCCTGGGCATGTCGCACAGTGTAAAAGCATCAACCACCAGTATTTGTATTATATTTTGATATCCTGAAATGCTGAATTTGTACTGTGCTCTTTAAAAGGTGCTATTTACTTAAAGGAGTGATTTTTGTGGTGTGCATGTTTGTTCTCCCAGAGTATTATATACAATATATTCTTAATACCTGTTATATGTGAATTGTTTTTGCAGTTGGGCTGATGCTCAGACTCAGATCCAGAACATTGCGGCATCTTTTGATCAAGAGGCAGCTGCTATCCTCATGGCCAGGCTGGCTGTGTACAGAGCAGAGACTGAAGAGGGTCCTGATGTCTTGAGATGGCTTGATCGACAGCTCATTCGATTGGTAAGATGCTGTCAGAAATGACTCGTACATTAAGTGGGCAGTTATATGAAAAACACCTTAGACCATTGCAAGCGACGATACTAGCAATTAACTTAGACAGCATTGCATTAAGCTTTAGTATTTTGTTCTTTTTTGATAATCGGACTTCATTTTTTAAAAGGGAAGTACAAAGAATATTGATGAAATGAAAAGTACCTTCTAATTTTCTGAAAGTGGGACACGTTATAGCACAAAGTATGTAGGCAAGGGGCACGCCCCCCTGACCACCTCCATTAAATGGGCCATGGCGAATTAATACACAATGATTGGTTAACTCAACAAGTGCTTTTTTCCATCACTACTTTTCCTTTATGCTGACTTTTCAAAATAATGATGCATTTGTTTAGAGGTTGGATGTTTAGTGCAGTAAAACATTATTAGGAGTTAGTTAATACATTCATTGGCGGGTACACATCAGACCAAAAAGAAGGAAAACAGGAATTTAATTCCAAAAGAATGACTGTCCCTACAAATAGTTGAGAGAACCAACCAACCAACCAACCAGATCCCAGTTTTTCTAAAAAAAAAAATGCATGACCCCATACCATCCAGCCAGATTTTATTTTATCTTACCCATATTAGAAGAGGTGAATTTCTTGTAATAAGTGATAAAGGTTTTTTAATTAGTATGCTATTTTAGAGACAACAGACGGTGGATAACTAGGCATTCTCTAAGCTAATGGGGGGTAATGAGAGTTTAGTATCACGTTTATTAGCTATTACTATTGTATACCAAGTTTCACTTTACATTCTACCTGGAGATTTTCTTTGTTTTATTCTTCAAGGTGTAAGGCAGTGTCCTGATCATACTTTCTTCTTTTTATAGTGTCAGAAATTTGGAGAATATCATAAGGATGATCCCAATTCTTTCCGGTTTTCAGAAACCTTTTCTCTGTACCCACAGGTAAATAAGTGTGTCAAGCTGTTCTTGAAAAGTGAGAAAATCCCATTGCATTATGTTCTATTGTTTTTGTTCTCTAGTTTCTCTTGTATCACTTACGCTGCTACCTATCTATTACAAGGAAGCACTTCATTATAAAAGTCATTCAGAACCTCTTAAAGTATGAAGCTGACTAGCAGGAGAACTCAAAAGAGACATGAAAGGCCACTTCTATGTCTACTTGCTGCACTTTGGGGCCAGTAAGGGAGAAAAAGCTTTAGGAAAAGTAATGCTAATGTAAAACCGCTTCTCTTCATCTACTACCAGAGTGCCTCCTAAACCAAAATTTTATCATCCACTATGTTTGGAACAGCTTCAGCTGCAGCTTTTCTTTTTTCATATTTAAAAACATTCATAGGAAGTAAATAGGAAGGTACTCGGCACACTTAACGTGAAAATATGGTATGCATGCATGTTTGTTGCTCCTTTTAATTGGTACAAAATCGCAATCTACATCCCAGTAAATAGATACAATGAGGAAACGAAGCATCATGGGACTTTTTAAGGTGTGCAGTTTAAAAGCCTTTATGATACTCAGTTTGGTAATTTTATCTTGATAACATGGTAATAGCAACAATATAAAAGTAATCCATAGAAACTAGTCAGAAAAGTGCTGTTATTACTTTGACTGCACTGACTAAATGAAAACTGTTTTCTAATTAATGGATGTTTCTTGCAGCTTGATGTTTTTTATTGTTCTTTGAGAAAAGTAGCTTGTAGAAAATGATGTGCATGCTATAAAGGAGTTGGGAAAGAAAAGCATTCTGTTTTTTATTCACAGTATGTAGCTTGTGGATATTTTGGAAGGGAGGTATTTAATCTCCGATTTTTGCACAAAATAAGGGTCATCCCCCATGCAAGTAGATTTCGGCCCACTTACTGCTAAACTCTTTTACCTTTGCATATGACTGATGTAAAGAGGCTAGGTTCAGCTTACAGTGATATAAAAGGTGGTCCTTGCACACCCTCCATTTTCCACAGCTCCGCTTGTTAATACTGTAATGATAACAGTCAAACAGCACACAGAGAGAGTAGAATAGGGTAGGCCTTGTAGAAACACCATACTGAGCAAAGTAATAAGGAGACCTTATAAAGTAGGGGACGGAGTCATCGTCATTTACTTACCCCCCACATGCTTAACATTGCCAAGACTGACCCCAAGTCCTGCAAAAGTGTTTCACTTTCAGAAAACTATATTCTATCTGTAGTCCTTCTGCCCCTTTTTATTTAGCTACTCGGGCACCAAGCATTGTATTATGGGGATGCATGAGGAGTGTCGCATGGAATTGCTAGATATTTCTCCAGGTAGTGGGGGAGCGTCGGAAGGTAAGTAAACACTTCAAAAATACAGTAAAACCTTCATTATTGAAGAACCAAGTGTACCATGTTCCTCCTTTGTCTTTTGTTTTACAGCATTTTTATTACTACAGCACAGGAGATCTTTAGAGCATATACATGTTTCACAAGTGATCTCAAAGTGGAAATTCTAATTTGATCAAATCAAAACAAATTTCTGTGTTTATAGAATAGTGCATTGCATTTATAAGCCGTTTCCTCATGCTTACGGAACTGTCTTGCAGTTTATGTTTCATCTGAGGAGGTCGCCATTCCTTCAAGTGTTCAACAACAGTCCTGATGAGAGTTCTTATTACAGACACCATTTCATGCGCCAAGACCTTACCCAGTCTCTTATAATGGTTCAACCCATCCTCTATTCTTATTCCTTCAGTGGCCCTCCAGAGGTAGGACGTTACTTGTGTACATTTGCTTCATTTTTCTTTTCTAAATTAAAAGGTGCTTACTGAAATGTCATGTACAGATAATCTGCAATTTCTTTATATTATTATCACATATTAAAGCTAAACTCTAGGTTTTAAGGATTACACACACATACACACACGCTCCTCTTGGAAAATGTTGTAAAGGAACATACAGAATCAGTGCTACAAGTCATAAAATATATTCACACAAAGTCCTCATAGAAAAATCATTGTCCAAGTTGAGCAGATTCTTGGATCCATGTTGTGTCCTTAAGGACTCATTCATATGGTCATGTACACCCGTACAGAGACCTGCTCCCGGAAGGGACATGTGTTGCATGTAAATGCGTGCAGCCGCCTATACCTCCCTTTTTGGAAGGATGTGGCAGCATTCAGTTACACGCCGACTCGAACCGGACCAGCACGGATGTGCAGAATTGGGTTGGCGTGTAACCGCGTGCAGCCGTGCCCTCCCATAGGAAGGTACAGGTGGCTGCATGCAATTACACACATCACATGTCCATCCCAGGAGCAGGTCTCTGCATGGGCATGCATGCCTCTGTGAATGAGCCCTAAAGGACTATAGGGTGTGTCCAGCAACCATCTTTAACCAGAGTGGTGTTGATCCAACTTTGCCCTGCCTTCCCCTTTCAGGGACAGATCACTGCAATAGTGATTTATTCCTTGCTGACAACAGCAAGCAAGAGATCACTTTTGATAAGGAAAAAATAAATAAAAGTTGTTTTAAAAAGAGCAAGTTTTTTTCTAATTTTTTACTTTTCCTGTCTGTTCTGAAAAAAAGTATTTTAAGGGTAGACTAGAAGAGCTATACTGACATATCTCTGATTCTGGGAGTTGAGTCAAAGGCTATATATAAGACTTAGTGGTTAAAGGAGAACTATTGGGTTAAGGCTTTTCCCCATAGTTCTCCTTAGGGTAACGGGAGGACACAAACTAGCGTCCTCCCGTCACCCTAGGCTCCGTATACCGCGAGCAGCAGCTCGCGGTATACTGAGACGCCGCAGCTGAAGCGGATCCCGACAATTATGTCTGGATCCGCCCAGCACTGGCGGATCGGAGGGGGGAATCCAGCCCCTCCCCTGGCACGGCAGAGAGCTGTGACAGGATCGAGAGGTGAGCGAACGCCGGTATGTGTTCGCTCACCTCCCGATCTACTGAGCCGTCCTGTGACAGTCTCATTGTCACAGGTCGGCTAGAACTATGAGGTGCGTGAAAAGCACTCATCTCATAGTTCTCCTTTTAAAGTAAGGTGGATAAAGGCAACAAAGTATTTGCAGGTCATGTTTTAGGGCTCGTTCACACGAATGGCAGTTTTAAAACCCCCCGGCTGCCTACTGCAATGGTAGCACTGCGGCCTTGCAGTGCTGTATACATTGCCTCAGCTGCAATGTTTTGTGTTTTGTAGCCAAAAATATACAGAATGTCGCATTTGACTGGTGGTGCCACTTGCCAAACGCGACAATTGGAATGAATGGGACCACACCGCAAATTGCTTTTCAGAGGGTGGTGGAGACTGCCACCTGTCTCAGCGAGGCTTCAGGGCAAAGCTGATATGCACATAGCAGTTTTCTCAGCTTCGGACTCCATCCAGTTCATAGCTTAAATTATCCAAATAATTCTGCCATAGAGAGTATAGAAAGGTTTTAGTTTAGGCAGGACCTCTTTAAATGCACATGTATAGTACATAGAATTAGACCCATGCATTCTTTACTTACTGTGATTTGGCTTTCACTGTTCTGTGTGATGCCGTTTATACAGCAATGATCATGGCAGTGTACAGGATATAAAACGTTTTTTAGATATTCTGCTATATCAGGAACCGGCATAAAATCCAGCTCCCATCTAATATAGCCTGTTGTAGAAAGACAGAGTGCTCAGATGCAATGCTGTTAAATATTTACTTTCTATCTGTGACCAATATTCTGCACGGGGCTAACCACTAATGTGCTGTTTAATGATGCAGGGCCTTGCATTCCCGTAATGTTAATTGCGAAAAATGATTAACCTCAGGCTCAGCAGGAGCCGAGAGTGGCATTTCTAGGTGCCAGAGCACTGTTTACATTCAGCATTGATAAATGATGAAGCATCATATCTCTGTGTGGCTGTACAGATATTTGCCTTCGCTCAGTGTCCAGCCTCATCTCTGGTCACGTCAGTTTAGTTCATCATCAGTCAAGTGTGCAGAGAGCATGTTTTATAATTCTATGTGCTGTGTCCTCATTTTCTGGTCCTAATGGGGGGGGCATTTGTAGTCTGATATCTCCTCAACAATGACAGATGGAAAGATATGCATTACTGTACTGAGGACATTTATAAATTGATAGCAAATTCCTAATAATATACTTTAGTTTGGCCACTGGGGGGACGGGGACTGAAAAAGAGGTACAGGTCCAATCCTGTATTTCCAGTCACAGGAGAAAGATGCACTGCACTTACCCAACCAAATCAGCAGTACAAATATGACCAGTGCCCGCCCGCAACATCACATCCCCCTTGCAACAGCAAACGGCCTTTGCCTGTAAAGTTTGCTGTAGAGATTTACAGTTGCTGGCGTTGCATAGGCTGTACTGAGCATGCCGTGGCCCCTTCCTCTGCCCACTTTGCACCATCAGCTGGCTCAGCACAGACAGGACAGCGGCAGTGGCTCTTCCCTGAATTGTTGGCTGCCCCCCCATCTCCTTCTGATTTAGTTACATAATGACTGCTTGAGCTGTAACAACTCATGCCTCAGTTCATTTCCCCTCCCCAAGACCTGCACCACTGCTATGCTAGGAACACCCTCCCCGATCATCTCTCCACCTGCTGCTCCTAAGCATTGGGGAGCACACAGAGAGCGGCCCCAATGTCTGTTTCTGCCAGGGAGCCACTACTTCACATACAACCCTGTCTCCCGGCTCCTCTTCACATTTGTCTCAGTCACAGCTCCTGACTCATAAATAGCAAACCCAACTCCCTGTTCCCTTGCATGCCCACCCCAGTGTCGCAGCTCTAAGACTCCTTGCTGTACAGGTCCCAGGTTATGAGAAGGGGACCCTGGAAGCAGTGGTGCTGGGGTGGGCGTGCAAAGAGCAGGGAGCCGAGTTTGCTAAACTTTTTTTCTCCATCTCATGCTCCTGTGCACTTTGCCTGGCTCCTCAGCACCTTCCCCACAGAAGATCTTGCAGCAACTTAACACTCCCATCAGAAGAAATTTCTAGCACATCTCACCCACTGCCACCACCTCCCATGATCAGATTGTGCCATAATGCCTCTCTCACAGTACAAGCATTCCTCCTCACCCACCTCCCAATGCACATCACCCCACCTGCGAACAGAACTTCCCTCCCTAGCCAGTACACCCCTTCTCACAGCAGACCTCCCCACATGTCTCCAGGTCCCACCCTGCTCAAAGCTCATCTCCTACTCGGCAAGCCTGCCTCCGGCTCACAGAGCACCCCTTTCCCCCAAGCACAGTACATCCCTCCCTAGTTGGCATACCCCACTGACAGCATGCCCCCCTTCTGCTCACAATGCACCCCATCTTCCCATACACAGCACAGCTTCAGCACACACTGCCTCATCCTCTGCTGACAGACATCCTTCATCAACTGCCTCGCCACCCAGCTTACAGCGCATCATGTATTTTAGAGCAGCTAGCATACATTTGTGAATCTATTTTGCCATCAGCCTCCACCTATCCTGACACACAAGGCTGATGTTTAGTTCAAATTATTTATATTATTTTACAGCACCAGAGACATAACTTACTGCCAGTGAAATGTATTCTACATCCTGTTGGCTGCTGGTTAGTCGAAAAATCCTCCATTCAGTGATGCCAGATCCTCATCACAGCTCTGAACTCCTGATGTAATATTTACACACAATACAAGATCACCTTAAATCATGGTAGGAATTTTGTGAATAAGTGAGAGGGGTGGAAGTTCACCACTGTGAGGAGGATACAGCATCACTGAAGGGAGGATGTGTACACTAACCATTAGCCAGCAGGACATAGGATGCACTTCATCGTAGGTAAGTTATGTCCTTGGTGTTGTAACCAAACTTCAGCTTTTAGCATACCATTTCCGACTGCTAGCTATAACTTATAAGGGGTGGCTGATTACAAATGGTAATTGTAAGCCCTCAGGGGCAGGGCTCTCCTTACCATCTTGTCTTGATTTGTATTGTGATTGTAATGTCTTCCTTAAATTGTAAAGCGCTATTTTATTATAATATAAAGCAAATACATTCTTATAGTTCAGTACGTTGTTCCAGAAACCTGTGTGTGAGGTTGATGTAAATACCATTAAGACATCTTTTGTCTATTTGATGTGATTACAGCCTGTTTTACTGGACAGCAGCAGTATACTTCCAGACAGGATCCTATTGATGGACACATTTTTTCAGATCCTTATTTATCATGGCGAGGTAAGTCTGGAGTTATGGTGCCTGTCCTTTCTTCATACATTGTTCATGTTTGTGAAGAGATCCAACAGTTTAACATTTGACCCTGTGTTGGCAATTTGCAGACTGTTGCACAGTGGAGGAAGGCAGGATACCAGGACATGGCAGAATATGAGAATTTCCGTCACTTATTACAAGCTCCACTGGACGATGGGCAGGAAATCCTTCATTCTCGTTTCCCAATGCCACGTTATGTAGACACTGAGCATGGAGGAAGCCAGGTAAGAGCTAAAACACGGTGAATGTGAAACTTTAATAGCGAGATCTACACTTTGCTTCCAGCACAGAAGATGTTCACATTTTTTCAGTGAGCTATCCACTTAAGAAAAAAAACTTAGTTTACTTTAATCTGAATTCTCTGTTACCCAGTGTGGCCAAATTTCACATAGCTGCTCACATGTGACATAGGTATGTTTGCTTCCATTTGCTTAACCGATCAGATTTAGTTATTGGTGACTAAAAACCATAATATATGAAAAAAGACTAGAGCACCAGTGAATTAAAGCAGCACATTTTGTAACCCTTGCAGTGGGGCTACCCCTGCACTGCAAGGATTAAGTGCTCGTTTCTGTCTAGGTTTAAAAAAAAAAAAAAGCTATACTCGCCTGAATCTCCAAGCCGGCTTGTTCTTAGGCCAGTTCTTCCACCTCGCTTCCCTCACCTCTTCAGCAGTCTAAGGATCCTCAATTCATCCTGTCCTACACAGTGTATAGGATGTGAGGACGCCGCAGTGGAGAAGGCAGCTGGAGGGAGCTCTGTCCAAGCTGGCCGGATCCAAGGTTTAGGTGAGTATAACTCTTTTTTTGTGTGTGAACCTAGATGCAAATGAGCACTTAACCCTTGCAGCGCATGGGTAGCCTCACCGCAAGGGTTAAGAATTTATTTTTTACCTGGAGTTCTTCAAATGTCAGCTAGTTTGGGTTTAGAACTTCTTTGAAGGTAAACTCCAGGAAATAGATCTGGAAAAGGAGTTACACTTACCTCCATGCCTTCCCTTCTCAGTTACCAGTGTCCTAAAATTATGCCTGGTGTTCAGCCGTACAGTTACAGTGTAATTCTTTCATATAAGCAATCCCAAATCTTATAAATTACTTCTAAACTATTAAAGCTTTCATGGGTTAAAATATCATCGACATTGGGTGCTGAGCCTCCACGTTACCGACAGAGAGAGCAACAGTCAGCCAAAGCTCATAAATATATATATAAAACTCTAGACATATGTTGCTACAACAATAAAGCATATCTGTGAAAGAATTAACATCATTGCAAAGATTGGTCGTTAATACCATAAGGAGCACAGCAGTGTTCCAACCAGTGTGTATATAACATATAGTACATAGAGTATGATTATACACTATATACTTTACCATATACCGTATATACTCGAGTATAAGCCGTCCCGAATATAAGCCGAGGTACCTAATTTGACCCAAAAAACTGGGAAAAAGTATTGACCCGAATATAAGCCGAGGGTGGGAAATGAGGCAGCTACTGGTAGATAGATACCAATAAAATTACATGAATATTTATTTAAAAGAAAAATAACCTAGCTCTGTAAGTGGAAAAGGGGGTGCAGGGCTACATATCATGTACTACGGATCATTTAACCCATTCATATTAGCAGAGGATAATTGTAAATCTATTGTTCAGTGCATTCTATATGTAGTATATAGTACATGTACATATAGAGTGCCTGCAACAATACATTTACAATGATCCTCTGCTAACATGAATGGGTTAAATGATCCATAGTACAGGGCTACATACAGATCATTTAATACATTCATGTTAGTATAATTGTAAATGTATTGTCTGCACTGTATTAGCAGTATATACTCTATATAGAGTATATACTGCTAATACAGTGCAGACAATACATTTACAATTATACTAACATGAATGTATTAAATGATCTGTATGTAGCCCTGTACTATGGATCATTTAACCCATTCATGTTAGCAGAGGATCATTGTAAATGTATTGTTGCAGGCACTCTATATGTACATGTACTATATACTACATATAGAATGCACTGAACAATAGATTTACAATTATCCTCTGCTAATATGAATGGGTTAAATGATCCGTAGTACATGATATGTAGCCCTGCACCCCCTTTTCCACTTACAGAGCTAGGTTATTTTTCTTTTAAATAAATATTCATGTAATTTTATTGGTATCTATCTACCAGTAGCTGCCTCATTTCCCACCCTCGGCTTATATTCGGGTCAATACTTTTTCCCAGTTTTTTGGGTCAAATTAGGTACCTCGGCTTATATTCGGGACGGCTTATACTCGAGTATATACGGTAGGCAGTTCTAGTTTATGAAGTAAAGCAGATATTCTGCTCACATTCTGGAATCCAAGAACAGAAACAAGGGGAATTCTAATGGATGAATCATGACCATTAGAGGTCCAAAATGGTAGTACACACAGCAGAGCTTTGCCACTGTCATGACATTAAAATATATTTGCATGTGTGCCAGTATCTAAAACTCTGAGTCTCCAATGCATGTAAATCGGAGGAATTGATAAGAATTCATTTTTGGTAAATTGTTGAGAAATGATTGGTTTATATTAGGAGATAGGGTGTCAGGCCAGCTCGAAGCATGAGATAGGTCCATATAAAGTGGCTGTTGAAAACAAAGCATGCAGTGTTATCTAATGATATAATAAGGTGTAGCATAGCCAAAATAGCAGACATGAGAAACATCAAGTGAACAGTAGGCACGAGCTCCAGAATGATCTGTGTACTTGTTCATTTAGTTTTAATACATAGAAGAAGAAAAAACTTTAACAAATTATTCCAGAGTAATAGCATTCTTTCTGTTTGTCAATGCAGAATGAGACCATATACGTAACATGCATCATACAATGCAGAATGAGACCATATACGTAACATGCATCATACAATGCAGAATGAGACCATATACGTTACATGCATCATACAATGCAGAATGAGACCATATACGTAACATGCATCATACAATGCAGAATGAGACCATATACGTTACATGCATCATATAAAAGCATTTTAATGAAAGTTTGGCGTCATCAGTAGAGATCTGGAACACATTTGGATGTCCTTGGTTCTCAGAAATGGAGATCTCTATGAATTTGAAGTCTGTAAAATGTGAATGTTAATATTCTCACCTTCTCTTCTACCTTCTTCACATATATTCCCCCAGGCTCGTTTTCTGCTATCAAAAGTGAATCCGTCACAAACCCACAACAACATGTATGGCTGGGGACAGGTCGGTATCCCGTCCCACTTTTATCAGTGTGTTACTTTGAGCGCTCCTTTCATGGTGCAGGAACGCTTTGCATTGTTGTTATTACAGAGGTTACACATCTCATATGTTCTCTGTGTCTCATGTGGGAGTGAACATCTGGTGTCTTAGAAGCTCCCTTTCTCTGAGGTTTTTTTGTACACTTGGGTGAAGTAAGAAAACTTGAACCTTTGGTTTGTACTACATTTGGGGTGTGTCACTTGTATTCACATCCACTATAACGCCTGCTCTGTTTTTATAATATGGAAGAAGAGTGTTGACTGCAGTGTGAGCATCCTACACGTGGGGCTCAGGGGCTTCATGGAAGAGTCTCTAATAAGCATCGCTCTTCCCACAGGAGTCTGGATCCCCCATTCTCACAGATGATGTCAGTCTACAAGTTTTCATGGATCACCTGAAGAAACTAGCTGTGTCCAGCGCTGCATAAGACTAAACCTTCCTGTATGGACACAACGCCCCAGAGAAGAGGTCGGCCTGTAGGCTTATCCCAAGTAGAGTGACTCCATCCTGACACTGCACGACACAAGATGCTGGAAAGCCAACTGCTCACCCCTCCTGTATTTATTACTGTGATGTATGCATATACCACCTATACTCCCCGGGCTAGAGCTTTATTATTAGGACTTTAGTTTAAAATGAACGCACATGAGCAAGAGGAACAAAACCACATTTATAGCACACAGAGATCAGTTGTTTATGACTATTAAACACTACACACTGTGACCTGTGTTTACCTTTGGAGTATGTATGGAGGATTCTTTAACATTTCAGGCATATTGTAATGCTACTGTGGTAATGGTGCCGTGCTGGACCCGAATATTGCTTCTTGAGACACAGGCTGCTCTCTATGGACTGATGGGCCACAAAAAGGTCCTCTGGATATCAGCAGTAGGTATAGTACACGGGTGAGTGTCGCAATAATGTTTCAAGTCCGGTAAGTTTTTATTCATCATTGCACACACTATCTACACACACACACAATATCTACACACACACACTATCTACACACACACACTATCTACACACACACACTATCTACACACACACACACACTATCTACACACACACACTATCTATACACACACACACTATCTATACACACACACACTATCTATACACACACACACTATCTACACACACACTATCTATATACACACACACACACACACACACACTATCTACACACACACACACACACACTATCTACACACACACAAATAACAACATATGATATTTGCTGCAATTAAAAACTTACTGGACTTACATTACTATGGGGCTCTCATTCACCTACTACACCTAAATCATAGATGAAAGTCACCGCACATCAATCATTATGGCTATAATCAGAGATTGTACATCTCACTGTTACTATTGGTTACAGCTATAATTTATGCAGTCGGGTACATAGAAAAGAGTCCTCGGAATTGCAGCTTATGTTGGAGAATGACCTGATGCTGTGGGATTATCACTGCAGATGGTTCCAGATCACCTCATGCCACACACTAATGGAAGCCTTTGCACATTGTCACAGCTTGAGGGAGGCCTCCATTGACCCCCATTGCTCGCAGTGCACACTCTGATATTGTGAAGGACAGTGAAAGGCTTCCTCTACCCAGAAACAGGTAGAGCAGCTCCCAGATCCCCCGAAATGATGGCTTTTGGGGTTACGACTCAGACTTCCACCTATAAATGCATATACACTATATCTGAATTATTTAAAAAGTTTATTAAGAATAAATAAAATATGTATTTATATTTCCCAGATGTGACCAATTATGCACTGTTATTATTGACATAAAAGCTATAGGACAGGGGTCCTTATTTTATTATAAAGGGTGTCCATGGGACAAATAGCTGTTCTTCCAGCAAGAGGTAGACATCAATGTCCCAACTTACTGGAATGCACAATGCCAGCTCTATATGTAAAAGAATAATTTCCAGTATTCTTTCCCAAAGTAGAGAATATTACAGATTCTTCCATACAAACCTAATGTAAACACAAATCAGTATTCATGATTATATTGCACTTGGCCATATCTTTATATGCATGTATTTGCTGTGTTTTATGTTTTTACATTGTTATCTCTCTCTGTACTGGGTATCTTCCTCATCATGCACCAGTAAGCAGATTCCAAGTCTTGCTTGCAGTCTTTTCATTCTATTGAACTGAGGCCTCTCTAGGAAAACTTGGGGAAAGGGAGCATGGCCCATAGCAACCCATCTGATGCCAGCTTTTACTTCTGCAGTGCAGATTACAACACCAGATTGGTTCCTATGGTTAGCAGACATGTTTTTCTTTTTCCAGTTTTTATGAATCAGCCTCATTGTTGGCAAATTACAATTTGGAGGTGTTTACTGCCCCAGTTCTTAGTTTTTATTTCATATGCTGTCAGATCTGTTTACATAATTCTGCCTAATTATTGCTGCCTATTTAGAATCAAATCTGTATTGTCCGCATAGGTTTTGATGGTACAGACATTCTCACATAGTATTCTTGTTTACCAGTGTGGTTCTCTGCAGCTTTCTGTCATCATGCTAAGTTTGGTGTGTAAAGATAAGGAGTGTCATGTACAGGAGGGTCTGACATGAGAACGAGGTCGTAGTGACCTGACAATGCCTGCAATTTGAAGAGAGCTGATTTAGTTTTTATAATCATCAATGTAAGTATGCCGTCATTAGAGGATAATATATCCAGTTTTACCTTTTCATTTACGTGTTTCAAAGCATTTGAATAAACTTGTATATGCAGAGTGCATCCTTTACATTTATATGGTGTCCTCTGTCTTTCTAATTTTTTCATGTTCAAAAAGTTCCTATTGTAAGGTTAAACAGGAAGTTTGCAAAGCTCCAACATGGAACAATTAACAGAAACGGAATGGAAAATAGAATCACAGGAGGGTCTGTAAGGAGCCAAACTTAGGATCCAAATAACTCAATGATACATTACAAACAGCATCAAAACCAGGTGAGGAACAATGTGAAAGTATTAGTAATAGGACAGCTATGGGCACAAAGTCCGCACCCAGTTATGCAAACTTAACGGTGGGCTATTGAGAGTCAAACCTGCTGAGTACAAATGCCATCTTTTTCTCCAACATAGTAATGTATAAAAGTTATATTGATGATCCAATGATCATATGGGATGGTAACTAACCAGACAAAGACCATCTAGAACTTCTTTGAAAATAGTTTACTCAAGCGGATATATTGATTCCCACAGCAACCATCTAAAAAAGCTGGAAAACAAATCTTCATTGTAGATAATTTTTATGAATAAGGGAAAAAAATGGCTCTAAACTAACCGAATATTTTTAACTACTAACTTAAAGAATCAACTTTACCCTGAGAAATCCATCAAAGATTCCAAAGGCAGAGCATTAAAAACTAAAAGAGACAAAGTACTACAGCCAAAAAGATCCAATACCTGCTACAATCAAATGAAAGGAATACTAGAACAACACTGGCATATTCTGTTAGAAGACCCCTATCTAATAGCATCATTACCGAACTGTACCTTTTTAGAAGAGCCGAGACAATTAAATATATTCCAGCACTCGGCACCCATTTCCACCTTTGTAAGTGATTTAACATTTATTGTGGTAATGTAGAGCAGCAGTGATGATGTATAGGTGTGTACACCTTCATGACTCACTTTGCTGGCTTTCTTCATTTTTTTTTTTTTAATGGACTTTTTAGTAGGCCTGTGTCCTCCAAATTTAACATTTTCTCCACAGGAAACTCAATCTGACACTGGGGTTGGATTGTAAAGCAGCTGACCCCCTCCCTGTGAGTCATTGTAACAAGATCACTGCACACCCGCTCTGCCTTTCCACCCTAGATGTGAAACTTGTAATATCAGTAATTGACAAAAAGAATTCCTACAAACCCATGTGAAACCTATACAATAAAATCATGAATTACTTGTGGTTCCGATTATGTCATCTACCAAGTTGAGTGTCCCTATGGACTACAAAATATTGGCCGTAGCACACAAAAATCATGCAACTGAATAAACATTTTGCTACAGATCACTGAAAATCAGACCCATGTCTTAGTCACACCTATCAAACATAGCAAGCCCTCCGATCAATATGATTGTACTCCTTTTATCCAGAGAATCCTGGATCTATTTATTTCATCTTTATTGGTTTTAAATTATACAAAAGGTATAACATTGACCAGGAAGCAAAAACCCCCAACCTGGGTTGGTACAAAAAAAGAGAATATATGAATCATAAATGGGTCATATAAGACAACAAAAACAGGCCTGGCTGTAGTAGGAAAGAATGCTCTGGCGCTCTTCTCTGGAACCATTACATTTAGAATCTCCAATGTTCCCAGTGTTTGACCAAATAAAGAATTTGGAACTGAAGAATCGCGTATTATCTACCTTCCTTGGGCGCCTCTGCGGTCATATTCTTGTACCTTTTTTGGGGTACCACTAGAGCTGCAGCTAACGATTATTTTCAAAATCGATTAGTTAGCCGATTATTACGTTCGGTTAATCGGATAAAAAAATAATATGAATGTTAAAAAATGGCTCCAGTGATGGGACTACTAGTTTGTATTGAGATTGTAGTCCATCTCAGGAGCAAGCTTGGAGCGGTGGAAGTAGAAAAGAAAACAAAAGTGTGGTGTGCAATATAGTGAAATGAAAAGTGTAAAGTTATACAGCAATGAATGCAGAATGGCACCGGCGATGGAGGACTACAAAACCCAGCAATAGTACATTATACAGCACAATACCACTGTATAATGTATTATTGCTGGGATTTGTTGTACTCTTCTACAGCTATTCCACAATGCAGAATATCACCAGCTATAGAGGACTACAAAACCCAGCAATAATACATTATACAGCGCAATGCAGAATACCGCCAGCTATACTGTATTATTGCTGGGATTTGATGTATTCCTCTATAGCTGGTGGTATTCTGCATTGCACTGTATGATGTGCTTTTGCTGGGATTTGTAGTCCTCTATACAGCGCAATGCAGAATACCGCCAGCTATACTGTATTATTGCTGGGATTTGATGTATTCCTCTATAGCTGGTGGTATTCTGCATTGCACTGTATGATGTGCTTTTGCTGGGATTTGTAGTCCTCTATTGCTGATGGTACATTGCTCTGTATAATATAGAGTACAGCAGAATGTACCATCAGCTATAGAGGAATACTACTCCCACTACCCCAGCAATACATTATAGAGCACCACGTGTGGGGGAAAGTGCAGGCTTACCTGAGCAGTCTTTCAGCAACTTGTTTCTGAGATCTGGGCTGTCTATCGGCGGCTGTCGTCCCCCCACCTGCTCCTTCTTACTTCTCCCTGTGCCGATCGTGGATGTGGTCGGGCGGGCG